CGGATTTTTGACTTCCCTTGCAGATTTGCTTTCAGTGGACGAAGATCTACGGCGGAGAATTTTGGCCGATGAATTGAAGAAACCTGAAATCACACATCATGGGAGAATAGGCGACTGCGAAAGTGCGAAGGATGTTAGCGGTTTTGTCTCACAACTGTACGCGTGTGTAGTTAAGGGGTGTTTTCCGGATCAGTGCAAGAAAAAAAACCATTCCCAATTGGCGAAGGTACTGTTGACAGTGTGGGGACAGGGGTATTGTGTTTTTAGGTATTAATGTCTTTATTTTTTTTTACTCCTCCGTCCATAATTTGATTAAAAATTGCGGATTACGGAGTAAAATTTCTTACTTTTAAAAATCATTTTATTTACAAATTAGTATATCAATAAGATATAAAAATTACATATTAAAAAACTACGTCAAAAGTTCTACAAAACAAGAGGTGACAAGAATACTTTATTTTATCAAATACTTAATGAAATCGCGTAAACAAACAAAAGTTATCGAGAGAAGAGACAAAAAAAATTACAATCCATTTAGGGACGGAGGGAGTATTTAGTAATAATATATACTCCGTATTAAGTAAAGTGTGTAATACTCCCTCCATCCTAAAAAAATATTCTCATTTGTGTTTACGAAGTTTGATTGATTTTATTTTTATTTCAATTTATTTTATTTTTGGTGTAAAATTAAAAAATAAAATTTATATATTTTAAAACTACAATAAAAGTTCTACAAAAAAAAGAGATGACAAGATTATGATTAATTTATGGTCAAATAGTATCACTATTTGACCAAAAAAGTAAAAACAAAAAGAGTTTTCTGAAACGGAGTGATTAGTTTTTTTATTCATTTCATATGGTTAATCTTAAGAATTAGTAACTCTATTGTTTCTAACACTCCGATTTGTTTTCTAAATATCGTGTTTGACCATTGAAATTTCTTAAAATATATTAGTAAAAAATTAGAAAATATGAATACTTATTCTTTTAAGAAAACACCATAAATAGGAGTAAAACATGGATCATATCTCTAAAATAGGAGCTCAAACTTAAACTCACCTAAATAGGAGTGATTAATTAAGAAATGACGTCCTGCTGCTATCCTCAAAACTTTCCTTTCAAATACTCTTGACCCCAGTGCCCAATAGCCTCACCATTCTCTCTCCTCGGCACCTTCGATTCACATCATCGCACTACCGCCGCTGCCATGTTGCCATCATTGGCAACCCTCTGCTGCCATCGTCGTTGCCCCTTTTCGCCATCGCTCCCTCCCCCTCGTTGCCCTGCCTTTTCCATTTGCATATATCTTTGTGTTTATTAGATCTTTACTTGGATTTGTTAAGTGTTGTATGTATCATTTGTGTATATTTTGGCTATAATTTTAATTAGCAAATCAAAGATATATTTTTGCCCCCCTAAACAAGACTTGTCTTTTTATTTTCTGATAATTGATGTTTATATCAATTTAATAAAGCTTTCAAACTACAATTATATGATTCATGTCCAATTTTCCTTTGTCTGACACTATAAATTGCCATATATGACATTACATATGGACATATATGGCATCATATATTGTCATTGGTGACATTATGTGGTACAATGTTTGACACTATTTTTTTGGCACTTTATTTGGCAGTTAACCTGGCATTGTGATGTCAACTAGGCAAGTTCTAGTGGTGATGTTGGTGAAAGTGGTAGAGATCAGAGATGTCGGCAGAGACGGTGAAAAATCAACAATGGTAGCCCACTCCTTGTTCGACCTAGCACTAGTACGAAGGCAGCCGCCCAATCTCACAAGCTTTTTCTCAGTGCAGACCAACACCGGCTTCTATCACCAACTAGTGTCGGCGTCCAGCATTATATTGGCCGTATCTCCGAACTAGGCCCCCTTGACTTCGTGAATTAGCAACAAATAGAGGTGGCTCTAGGAGACTCATCGTGCAGACGAGGAGAAAGCAACACTGTCCCGCGACGAGTTGTGCATCAACTTTTTTTTACATTTGTTTTTAGTGAAAAAAGGAAAAAGAAAAAGAAAATTAAAGGGGAGTAAGTATGTACTCCCTCCGTCCTGGTGTATTCGTCCAGTTCTGACTTTTGGAACTGTTCATCTAAGCAGTTTGACTCATCAAATTCTCTCAATGTGTAAGCCTAAATATAGTCATGTGTGATCTTGTTTGATTTATCTTAACTTATAGATTATTAATATATAATTTCTATAATTTTTTAATATATAAATTACAAGATAAAATGCATTAAAGAAGTGCATTGGATGGTGTGTAAAAATGAAAGTGGACAAATACTCTGGGACGGAGGTAGTAGTAAAGAGGAGAGAGTGCTTGATCAAGAAAAAAAGCAATGCACTGCACGTACATGATCACGATAAAGGAGCTAGGGAGATGTTTAGATGAATTAAGTCAAATACTCCTATTTAGGGCCTGTTTTTTAGGACTGTAAAAAAGAGCTAGATGTTGGAAGAAACTGGAAAAAACTGGAAGGAACTGGAAGAAACTGGAAGAAACTAGAAGGAACTTGAAGAACTGGAAGAAGTTGGAAAAAACTGGAAAGAACTGCTGTTTTCTTAACCACGATGAATTCAAAACCAGATTGATGATTTGCGGCCCCAAAAAACAAAAGATAGACCGAGTTTAATAACAAGAACACCATACCAGTAAAATGACACAAATGGGGTCGGGGGATGGGAGTATGCATACCTTACTGCATGAAATTTTCACACCTCTTTGTTCAACCTTGCCTAGCTAATCTCAGCCTTAGAATGCGAATACTACGAACAAACAACAGAGGGTTAGATTGATACACACAGCAAAGATATGAAATTTAGTGTATCCATCAACCATGCACGAGAGATTTCAGATTTGGTGTATCGATCCATCATGCAAGGGAGATATCAAATGCGATGTATCCAGCAAGCAAGGGAAAAAGTAACAAACCTAATTTTTTTCGTAGCGTATCACTCAATCTAGTAAAACAAGAAAGTTCAACTCACTAATATGATGATAAAGTTCATGATTGGTTTAGTTTGCGTCCAGCGGTCCTGTCCAGCAAGAGTACCTGCAATAGGGAAGCGTTAATGGTGCTGTGGAGTATTTCGTGTTTTTTTTGTGTTTCTTAAATTGTTTAAAATGGTGAATGTGCATTTTATTACCGTTTATGTCAATGTGTTGTAGGATTTCGTTGTATACTATGTTGTCTGTTGTTGAAGTAAATCTGTCCTGCTGCTCATACCATTTGATAGTATTTAGAACCACAACAAAAAACAAGACAGTAAACGCAATTGCCTTAACTCAAAACACGACCTAGAGTCTCACCTAAAAATTAAAATCCAACGGATTGTACCGCAAACCTAACGCAAATTTGATTGTCAAACACTAAAGTTAAAAGTCAATCTAGAACCTAACCCAAAACCAAACCCAAAATCAGGTCCAATCCCCAAAGTAAGAAACAAAATCCCTACCCAGAACCTAACCCAACAACCAATTGCCGGGGTGCATTAAGTTATTCCCATGTTTAAAAATTGTGAATAAGTACAAAAGGAATGAATATGACATTAAAAGGCTTTTAGAATGAAGACCAACCATTGCCTGTGGTGTTTGACATGGTAAACATAGCCGGTTTAGTGGAGTCTGAATGTCACATGGCCTTAAGCACCTATTTGTAATAGTGTGGTTTAGGGGTGAGTTTTGGATACATATCACCCTCTCCAAACCCTACTTTCGTGGGGTTTTACTGGGATTGTCATTCTTTTTTATGGCAGGGGGCATTGATGTTTGGGTGCAATGAGATATTGAAAGTACTTACGTGCAACGGATTATCAGAGGTTGAGGTTTCAATGCCTTTGGTCCATTTCTTATCCCCCTCTTGTGACGAGTAACCTGCGATTCATTGGCAATAGCTTTGGAGTAACTCTTGTTACGACTAACCTGCGTTAGCAATTTGAAAAGGTTATGTAATGGTACTTTCAGCGTGTTCAAAATTAATTGTCATGTTAAGGAAGTTGTTAGAGGATGAAGCTTCTTTTTAGGGACGACCATTAGTTCCATAGACCCATTGAAGAAAGTGATATCTTGGAATCTGTAAGCAATGTTCCCTTCAATCCTTTCCTGATTTGCAGACTGGGCCT